AATGTAGTTTTAATAAATGCAGCCTATGTGTCAGTGCTGTGAAAACTGGTTCTCAGGCCTCACTTCTGGAAGCCCTTTTCTGTAGAACCCGAGGACTCACCTGCTGTTTCCAGTCATCCTTGATGAACATGATGAGCTCACTCTGAAAAGCGTTGTTACTGGTCACTGAATGATTCACTGGGCCTTGACTGCTTCTCTGGGCAACCAGCCCAGCCAGTTTAAAATAAGATTTTGTTGTTTTGAGGGATGGAAGCCAAGGTGGACCATTAGGATACTTCCTTTTAGTACAAGAGAGTCTACAAGTTTCCTCTCCCTAATTGTGTTAACTATGTTCCTGAGACCAATTTGACAAGAGAGGAAAGTATTTGAGAATAATAGGGGATAGGGTGGGAGACAGTGAGGAAAGGGGGCTGAAGGCCTCCATGATCCAGGGTGCACAAGAAATGCTATGTTAGAACTAGTAATCAAAGCTACGGGTCACTTATTGGTTCCTTACACAGATAATAAGGACACTTAGGCAGGCATTGCCAAACCCTGAACTTACTCCTTTCGGAGACCAGCCAGTCAGCCAAGAGGCACAATACAAAGACAATGGGAGGAGATTGCAAAACTCTGTGTGTCTTTTACTCTAGGAAACTAAACCATCCCAGTTCCCTGGAACAGATGTGTCTGAATAAAATGGTCTTTGAGGCCCTGAGAGAGGCATATGCTATCTCTAAGGTGGCCCTGGACTGTAAAAGGGCAGAATGGGAACAATAATGCTGAACCCTGAAGCTGAAGATTTCTGTACTGATGTGGTACCCAAAACATGAGGAAGTTGCTTTAATCTTATATACTTTATCCATCGAATTTTCATTTTTCTGTGGCCAGGCATTTGCCAAGATTTTAGGGGCATATGACATGTGTGTTTTTACAGATAATACATTGCTCCCCAATATTTCTGGGTCTTGGACTCAACTATTTTGAACTCCATATAGTTGTTGACTGGTGTCAGAAGCCAATAGGTGTAAATGGGATGAAGGAAGGACTCTGTATCTTGATGGCTAGGACATTCAGTGTGGACATGGTACCGTGCGCTTAATGTCAAGTCTAAAAAAAAAAAATAATTTCTCTTAGTAAAACACACAGATAGATAAGAATGCTTCTCTGCACGTCTTCCCATCATGATCTTGACATCCTCAGTGGCTGTGGAGCCACCATGGGACTGGACTAGGCCCTCTAGATACAGGAGACAGTTGTTTAGCCTGAACTGTTTGGGGGACACCCGGGCGGGGGAATTGGGATCCATCCCTGGTGCATGGGCAGGCTTTTGGGATCCCGGTGCCTGCAGTGTGGTACCTTGCGGCCTTGGTGTGGCAGGGAGAGGCTTGGACCTGCCTTGGCTCAGTGTGCCAGGCACTGTTGACTCCCTATGGGAGACCTTGATTTGGAGGTTGTGGGGATAGGGGTGACTTGGGAGGAATGGCTGGGGGTGGGAAGAGGGAGGAGGTGGGGGTCTGTGGGTGGTATGTAGGGTGAGTAGAAAATTTCTTAATAAAAAAATGTTTACACACACATACAAAGAATGCTTCTCTGATTTTCTTTAGCTATAAAGAAATTCAAAGTGATGTTTTCTGTTTGTTTTTAATAGTGTTCTAGTACATCTAACTTTGTTGGTCAATTCTTTGTGTTCCTCACTGACTTTTAATTTAGCTTTTGTTTGATTGATTCTGTGGTGATAGTTTGGAGCTTTTAGAATTTCTATATTTATTATGAGTCCCCTATATGTCTTTTAAACACGTAAGAGAAACCAGATGCTCAAGTAGGATTCAGGGAGTTGGCTTTAACTGGCACAATGTGATCTGGTGGCAAGATCCTAGAGTAACACCAAGATAACTCCTTCCTCTCCAACATGCAGGAGTTATAAAGAGACCTTTCCAGTGCCTGCCCAGAGATTGGCGGCTGCATCACGGCTGTCTAGGCTGTACTATAAGACACTGCCCACTGCTTTTGCCAAAAGGAAAGGGAGCAACAGAACTTTCCAAACACAAGCCTAGTAAGAAGACTCAGGGCATTTCCTAGAGAGCTTTGAAGTGAATTTCTTGAAATTGGGATATGCAAAAAATCAGTGCCTATCCCCCACCAAAGAAAGCTAACTGCAGGTGACTGTGGGCTATGATTTAACCCCACCCAGGAAATGTGTTAGGAAGAGAAAGGTCAACTGCTAATTAGTAGAGAAGAAGATCTTTTTGCATTGAAGTGGGACTGCACATTCCCTGCTCCCAGGGGCAAAGCATGTGTACCATGAACAAATGAGGGACTCACAAGAGAGTTACAACCAATGAACTTGTAGGTTAATGCTGGAATATATCTGCATTCTGTGTCTGCTTCTGTTCAAAGGGAATCTTCAAACTGCTGGCCCATCGGCCATATTTCTGCTTCTCCTATCTAATAAACAAAAATGCCCCCCCCCCCAGTGAAGTTGTCTCATTGGGATAAAACAAAAAGGCAAGCATTTCATCTCCAAGGTCTATAGATACATTTCATCTAAGGAATTGGCTTTACTAAAACAGTGCATGAGGTTGCATCACTTTTGTCCTAACAACTGTCTATAGAATCAGATGTTCACCCACAGTACTGTAACACTTGTTACAGCTTGATGAGGGAATGTGGAAGGCAAAAAGCTATTAGTGTGAGCCGAGTCTTAGATGAGAGAGTCTGAGCAGGGTGGAGTAGTTGAGAAGGGTAGCAGTCAGAAAGTGGAACTGTCTGACTCATCAGGAGTGGAGGCAACTGAGGCCAACACTAAGTGCACCCGGCTCTCAATTTTGCAAGTTCTAACACTTGCCAAGATGTGTCTGTATGGGCAAGGATTTCTCTGATGTAATTCTGTGCTCTAATTTAAATCAGTAACTTGACTATAACCAAAAGACAAATCAATTGCAGTACAGTTAAAAATACACATTTTATTATAGTTTTTCAAATACAGTAAAGGAACTGAGTATACATTGAAAGCAAAGGCTAAAATGATAACATTGGGAGAAACTCAGATGCTATATGTTGGTAGCTATTCCTCTGTCTGAAGTACAGAAACCTCTTCTGGTTCTAAAATATCACAATTCTGTTGGGCCTTTGCTGGGAGTGTGGCAGTATCATTTTGTCATTTTGTTTGCCTTGATTGTCCTAAGAATGAGGCAGGGACAAAATGACATCATTAAGTTTCAAAGAAATGGTTCCATTGAAAACATGCCTCCTATGTAAGCATAAGGACTGGAGTTCAGATCCCCAAATTCCATGTAATAGCCAGACATAGTGGCACACATCTGTAACCCAAGACCTGTGGGTGGTGAGGTAAAGCAGCAGTAGGTAGATCCCAAGAACCAAATGGTGGGCCAGCCAAGCCAAATAGATGAGATCTAGGTTCAGTGAGAGACCATGACGCAAAGACTAAGGTGAAGAGCAGCTAAGGGAGACACTCGGTGTGCCACTCACAAGCACATGCACACGTACACAGGCTCTCCCACAACACATATGTGCATACACCTACACAATCACATATATTACATACAACACACACACACATACACACATACACACACACACACACACACACACACACACACACACACACACACACATACACCTTTTACAAATAATGGTGTTCTAGTGAACCAGTTTTCCAAAAGAAATGCTTTGGTTGGTAGTGTTTGTCAATCTCCATAGTACAAAAATTCTCAGATTGTACAATTCAAAAAAATTAAATGTCAGTTTTTATGAAGTAATGTCAGCCCATGCCAGCACAGGGCTGCTTGCAACACAACAAATATCAACATTAACAGATTTCTATAAATACATATGATATAATTTTAATTTCCTGAGAAGATATGCAGACACAAGAGTCTTTGTACTCTATAGCAAGTCAGCAAGTATTCATAAAAAAATAAGAAGAAATAGCTTAGCCTACAGTAAGTATTATTACATACAATAAAAATATTTTTTAAATTAGCCTTATATAAAACATAATTATAATATAGCTTTTCACAAATATACATAAATATTGTGAGTTGGTTTAAAATACTTTTCAACAAGAACTTAAAAGCTGGTTAAATTTAACAGAGTCCAAAATTTGAACATGACTGTTCTTTATTACTTTGAGAAGTCAGCATGCTTCAGTGAGATGGGCTCTTCCAACAGGATCCTGGCTTTTCTTGCTCCAGGCAAGAAGAGGAAAATGTCTGATGGTAAAGAAAAGCTCTCTTGTAGCTTCATTCTGGCCACCTTAGGTGATGCATCCATTTTAAAGTTGAATTTATTCCATTTTAGAGATGTATAATGAGACAGTAGAAATACCAGTTTCAAAGCAGAGACCATGTGAATGGCAAAACCCCACTCCATTTATTGTGAGTTCTGAGTCGAAGTAAGAGTCTTATGATCCATCTATCCATGTTCTTATTGATTTCTTTTTCTAAAAATATCTGCCCCACTAACATCATAAAGTTGTTCAGTATAGGAAAACTGATGTATCTGCCAATTAGGTAACACCAGCTAAAAATCTGGAATCATTACATAATACAGCCAGAGAAGTACCAATTTCTGTGGTTAAATCTAACGACTACCAGTACAAACTCTCATTTTACTATTTGCAATATTTATACACACATGCACACAAAAACAATGAAGGCTTACGTGAAAGTTCAGAATGAACCTGCATCCTGAGAATGACGAAATCAAGAAAAATTCCCAGATAAATTTCATTCCATGCTAGCTCTACTTCTGTCCCAATAGGTTTCATAGTGTTCTCTATTGTCTAAAAATACCACAACCAAGGGGGGTGTTGTTGGCATATCTTGGCCACCCCACCAGTCTGACAGCTTTTCATTAGGAGGCTCTCAGAAGGTGAGAGTATAAAGTGATTAAGGTAAAAGAGTTCAAGGAAATTATGATGAAGAAAGGCCAGGCTACTGCCCAATACCCTTTTTGCAAGCCAAGTAAGACTCCCATAGAAACAGGACCTCATTTTCCACCCAGAGATTCAAGGGTTAGACAGACATTCTTTGGAAGAGTTTCTGTCTTCTGCTGCCCATACTCATTTTATCATGAATTATAAAAATGTATTCCTAGACCCAACATCAGGGAATTTGGCCCATTTGCTGAGTCTTCTTCAGACAAACAAGGGTTAAAAATCTTATGATGCCAAGAGGTTCTGTGTGCGTTGATTTGTAAGCCCTCATAAACTAGATGGATTGCAAATAGTGAACCCCTCCAACCCAACAACCAGCATCTCTGGATACACTGAGGAGGAGGAGGAGACCAAACTCAACCTCTAGGAGCTGAACGAGAGCTCTGGCATTAAAATGATCCCCCAGTATGTAGTATTTTTCTGAACATGGTCATCAGAGTTGAACCTCAAATATATGGTATCTCTGGCATGCAGTTCATAAATCCCTCCTATAGTTAATAATTGAAAGTCATTTGTTGCAGATTGTAAAACATTTCCTTTTTTAACTAGCTCTACTATAAATTCAGCAGGGTTTGTTATGGATTTTTTAGGAAAAGGAGTCACTTGGCCGTAGATTAAATACACGCCATCCTGAAGTATCTCCAGCTTCCCGTCAGATGTCATAGTTACACAAAGAGGTTCAGGAGATGTCATTCGCCATTTTGAGGGTAGTAGTTCTATAAGAAATTGAAAAATGAAGGGAAAAAAGAAATCATGTTTGTATTATTATTTCATCCTCTACCTGGCTGTCGTACATTCTTTACTACCTGCAGGTGAATTCTCTACATGGTCTATACTAGTTTTCTCAGACCATATTTTAAATATGTTGTGAGAATCAACCATCTCTCTGTTTTAGAAAAGTTGCAAGTCCTAATGGCTCTGTATCTCTTTTCAGGTAATATGAATAAGGAAGGGAGGGAGAGGAGAGAGGAATCACACAGCAAGACCAGAATAAGGATTGCTCATAACTCATACATCCCCATGTCTTTCTTATATGAATACTATTTACTCTGTGGTGGTTTACTAATGACACATTCCCTGATCAGTCTACACTCAACATTGCTCTCCTGTAACTCCCTTGCTCTATACTGCTTTAATTTTCTTCATAGAAAGTATTAGCATCATTTTTTATCACATCTAGGAGAGATTTCAAACATATTGTATGTTCTGTTCCTTTCACTGGCAAAACAAAATACAAAACCAAGGGCCCATTCAAAGAATGCCGTAACCTCTGAAAGCCAAGGTATTTTGAAAACCTGGAGCAAAAGGCAGAAAAGTGAAATTGTCTACTCATAAATGAAAATGTGTTTGTTTGGCCAAACAAACCATCAAAAATGTATATAGCTGATATTTTGAATGTACTCTAAGAAATATTCTGAGACTCAATGTGATGGTTGGCTTTACTTGTCAACTTGACACAGCCTTGAATCTCCCAGGAAAGGAGTCTAAGTGAGTACTGTCAATATTGAGTTGATCTATAGAGGATTGCCATTGTCTTAATTAAGTCGATAGTTGTGGAAAAGTCCAGCCCACTATGGTTGGTGCCATTCCCTAGGCAAGATGTTCTTAACTGGTAGAAAGTAGAGAAGTGGAACTGAGCATAAGAAAGCAAGCAAGTATACATTTTGTTTCTCTCTGCTCTTGACTGTGAATGTGACTAGATGCTTCAAGCTCTTGCCGTTGTAATTTCCCTGCAATGACGGACTATAATCTGTACTTGTGAGCTAAAACAAATCCTTTTTCTCCTAAGTTGCTTTTCGTCATGGTATTTTATTGAAGGAACAGAAATAAAACTAAAACACTCAGCAACACTGTTTTCCATATGTTTTCTGAGCAGCTATCAGCTGCGTATAAAGGAAAATGACTCAGAAGCTAAGAGGAAGTGCCTGTTCCTCTAACTCTCCACTCCTCTTCTATGCACGTACTAACAGCAGTAATGTTTCCCATATGCTCTACTAGATGTGAGAAATTTGTGAAATGTGAGAAGTACTTTGAGGAGAAGTGGTAGAAAGATATTCTTAAGAAGCTACCATACTGAAAGCTGATTACTGTATACAGATGCACAAGTTTTTCAGTGTGATGAATATGCCTGCCAAGAGTGTTGCCAGATGTGGGCTTGTTGATTTGGTTCAGCTCTGGAAGCTTCAGCTCTCACTAGGCTGATGGCCAAGTATAGAATTAGAGATTATAATAAAATAAAATAAGTGACAGTGGGCAAAAGGATGTATAGGCTTTTTTGAGGGCACTGGCAGCTGCCTTCTTGCATCAAAAACTAAGAAAAAGAAAAGGTTACTCACCAAACTTAACCATGCAGGGGTCTTTGGCAGTTGGCTGTAAAAAGAAAAGAAGAACTGGTCAGGATGATGGCACAGTTGCTACTTACTTGACTGAATTATTTAGAGCTTAAAGTTTCTGAAGCAAACTACTTTCCAAAGTTGGGGGGGGGGCACCACACATAGACACCTGTCTTGCTTCTTTGCTTCCCTCTACAGATGACTGGCTCTCTCCTTTACATTTGACTTACAGTAGCTTTGACGTTAGAGTTTAGAGACTATAAGAAGCAGCAAGTGAGTGAGCAAGTGAGGTATGTGTGCAAGGGAAGGGGTATAAATAGACACACTGGAATTTAGCTGTGTAAGGAGACAAAGAAAAGCATGACTAGAATGATGGGCAGTATTAATTTAATTTTTAAAATGGTATCATTGAATGATAGATTTGATAATGAGAAGAAAGATAGCAGATCTCTTTATGGGTCTTTCATTTGGGACTTTTTGTGTCTCATTCTGGTCATCTAACTCTGACCCACAAGGCAAGTATTGGAGCTTTGTTCTTTCCCTATAGTTTACAATAAACAACAGTTTCTATATCCATATGGTTTCCCAAGATTATCTGGTGCATGTGGGAAGAAGATAATGGAACCTCTGCTTGTATTTCTCTTTACTTAAAATAACAATAAATTGACTCTATAACTATTTAATGTTTAGAAAATCACATGCCCTGTACATTAACTGAGATACCCTCAGAATCGGATACAACTGTTTCAATTGTCTGCAACATGCCACAGCTTACATGCTGAAAGATGACATTAGTTGTGCCTAATTTACAAATACAATCACTTAAATGCTGTCAAATGCTTGAGAGTAAAGTAAGGAGGCATACCCACCAAAGTTTTTGGTACTCAAAATTATTGGTTTCCTTGGAGCATAGTGCGCAAAAGACTTTTTTTTAAAAAAGAAAGTATGGAAAGTGATACACGTTCCTTTTAAAGGAACTGTCCAGCTCTTGTACTAGGAAAAGACTAAAGAGAATGAAAGGCAAAAGCAATGATATCAGTTAAGCACGGACTGGACTCATGTAACGGGAATGCACATTGCCTCTGACCAAGGTGCTGGCAGAGGGGGAACGGGCCAACTGGTCTGATAGAGTGATGTGTGCCTGACATAATAGCACTTAGGAAGCTAATACAGGAAGCCCATGGGTTTTAGGTCAAGCTAGGCTATATTTCAAAGAAAGCAAGAAGTAACTGGTGTTCCTGACATGAATACTGGTGTGAGACGATAGGAAGAAACACAGATTTGGGACTGTAGCCACTGGAAAAAATAAAGTTAATTGCCAAGATGGGCAAGACTAAGAGAAATAAATTAAGAGAGAAACAATCATGAGTTTTGAATGTGTTAATTTGTAGTATTCATTAGATATCAAGTAGGCTGTTAGGTATACAGTGCTGAGACTTGTTGCTTTTAGACATGACATTGTATATGAACATCAAATCCAAGGGTGTAGATAGAGATGAATACTGGACTCTTTGGTACTTAGAGGTCAGACAATGAGGAAGAACTTTCTAAGGAAGATCAGTGAGTCTGAAATAAATGGAAGTGTGTGACATTTGGGAACCAAGAGAAGAAAGTCTTCTGGAGAGGAGATTGATCAGTTGGTATCAAATGTCACTGACTGATCCAAAAAGAAAAGGGCAGAGAGTTGACTGATAGAGTTAGAAACATGGATTCTACAAGAGTTCCTGACAGAACAGTTGTGTAATAGTTTGTATGGTATGATATGAGCACAAGTTTCACTAGGATGAATTTAAGAGAAAATGGAAAACTTGCTACACAGGAGTATAGTAAAAGTGAGTGGGACCTGGATAAGGGTGAGAAGTCAAAGAGATTTTTTTCCCTCTTTTGTTTTGTCTTTGTTTTAATATGAAGGAGATGGCAAGTTTGTTTGTTGCCATTTGATGGGGCTATTCTAATTGAATAAGAAAGGTAGTACAGAAGAGCTAGGCAAGAACTGCAGCCATGATCTGAGCAGGTGAGGCATGAGAGGATCTATTTCAGAGGTTGCTTTGGCAGTTACATGGATAATGCATCCATGCAGATGAAGGAAACTGTATGTATGAACACAAATGCAGGCATTCTCTCCTTCTAAGAGAGAAGGGAAAATGGTTCCAGAAAGTTTAGAGAAGAGTCAAGGGTGTATGGTAGTCTGGTGAAGGAGAATGAATAGAATGGGGAAGCACAGACCATTTTCATAGCAACAAGGAACCCCCACTTGAAGCTAGTGGCCATGAGCATATAAAGAAGGAATGCTCAAAAGGCCTTGTGTTTTTCTCGGACCCGGTACAGTTGGACTTAATTGGTGCTAGAGGCTGTTGATTGCTGGGTTTTGACATTGGAGTGTAGTGATCAGAGAAAGAAACGAGTGAATTTGTGTAAGGGAAGAGATATAATTAAAGACTTTAGAGTTTAGTTGTGTAATGAGAAAAAGAAAGGCATTGATGGAATGAAACATTATTTTAATTTTGAAAAGCTACCCTATCAAATGATAGTGATAATTGAGTGTCATGGCAATTAAGAATATACAAGGATGCCATAGTAAATTTTTATTTATGCTTCTTTGTAAGGTAATTTTCAATTGTTATAGTCAAAAGTCATAAATCAAGATAAATTAGAATATAAACTTTAAGTTGCTGTATTAGAAAATGTTAAACTAAAATTAAGGAAATAAAACAAATATCAAATTGCTGTTTGAATAACAGTAATTTATTTGAATGTGACAAGGCTTTGAATATGACAAGGAGGTAGAGGCACTGAGCTTGAACCCCAACATCACAAAAATAACATCTCAATTATTTTGTTATGTTTGTATCACATGTGAATATATTATAGAACACAACATTTTAGCTAAAACAAAGTAGATTTAGACTCAAAAATCTATCTTAAACCTTTAGAGTTGTGAGTTTCTGTCTTGTGTGTCTGTTTTGTATACATGGTGTAGTTTGGCATACGTCTGTTGAAAATTATAATAAAAGCGTTTTATTGATAAGGAGGTACAATAGAAAATGGTGGAAGCCATGAATCTAAAAACTGTAGGTCACTAGATATCCTGAAATTAGTTTTAATCTTGCAATTATTTCATCCCATTTTGGTTTTTCTTAGAAGAGATGTCTAAATTCAATTCAGAATGACTCATAGGCTCACAGCAGGGACTCCCATAACCCATTTCCTCATCTATTAACCAGGGAATAATAGCAGAGTTCACTGAACCTGTTGTTCAGTGTAACTGTGCTGACTCTTAGGAAGGGCTTCTCCAGACATTCTACCTGAACCTGCTCAGTAAATACCAGCTATTTTGATCATGATGCTGAAGAATTGAACAAACAGCTTGAGTTTGTTCCCAACATTATACAAATGTTGTAAGCAGGAGAGACAAATTTAATGCATAATTGTTGCCTTTCAAGGAGTTTGTAATCTAACTAGAAAAACACAATCACATATATGAAACAATTAATTTGCTATCTAAACATAAATGTCATGGATTTTGTTCCAGCTATTACCATGTGTAACAGGACACAGAAAATCTAAATCCATAGACAAATGAACTGACAGTCAAACATCCAGAAAGCCTATTGCAAGCTTCTTTTATATCTATTTAGAGTTAGAAAACACCACTGGGTTCATCTTTAACTATTGCCATAAGTGTAAATCTAACTGTAAAAACATCAGTTTGTTTGAAAGATGTGGTCTTCTACTGAGGAAGGAATGAGGTCAGACAAGTGATGAATGTTTTAACTGACCTTGTTAGTTTGTATTCAATGTGACCTTCTAACTAACAGTGATATGAATATTAATCGCTACCACCTATCCAGAGCCTGCCATGAGTCAGACATGTCAGGCACTTCACCGCCTCATTATTCCTTAAGGCAACTCTGTGAAAATTAGCATGTTCCTTCTGCAGATGAGGAAATGAGGACATGGTGATGAAGTCACCAGCCCAAGGTCACATGACTGATAAGAGGCGAGGTTGGGATCCAAAACCAGACTGCCTCATTCAAAACTCTCGTTCACCCCTACCACTCACAGAGGCAGTTTCTATTTATAATTCTGGTGATGTTACAAAAAAGTTGCACACAAGCCTTCCGGGTTTTCTTTAGTTTTGCTTGCTTTTATTTTGATGGGTCAGTTGCTCTTCTAACCTCACTTTGGTTTAAGACTGGATTACTTGGTTTGTCTCAAACTGGCCAAAACAGATTTCAGATGAACCCTAACTGCCTCTGTTTGGAAACAAACTATTTGTTTGCAAATACAGTTGTACAAATTCCATTTTCCCTTCTTGAATTTCATCCTTCATTTCACTGAAGAAAGGGACTTTCCTGAATAGTTGGACTCTTCCAAGGGAACTGCCATGAGCTACTTTCATAGAGGAGTTGGCCAAATTCCTTGAGCTCAGAGCCTAGTCTATTGGCAAGATGTCTTCTAGAAGAGAGAAAAAAAATCTCACAAGAAAATTTCTGCCAATCTGAAAGGAACCAAGCTTCCTATCTTACTTTTAATAGTACCATCTAGAAGGGATTTTTTATAAATGGAGATTTGCATGAAAAATGGAATGGAGAGAAAAATAAAAACTTCCAAGTTCTTAAGTATAAGAAGATGGAAGTGACTACCTCATAATGACCCACCACCTGCCATCCACTCAGATATCTCTGCTCAGGACATTTATATGTAGCTGAAAAGGAAAGTATAATACTCAAGCTAATACTGAAGGCCAGTGGCTTTTCCTTAGTAACTAGGCTGGCAAGCATTCTGGCAGGAAAATAGACTTCAAAACCTCTTTTACTTCCCTAAGTTTGGGATATACTTATAGGTATTTTTAGAGGTGGAACACTTCATTGAAAGGGGGTGTGTTTTTTTGAGGGGATAATCTATAATCAAAGTTCAAAATATCATGAATTAACTGAGTTTGATTGTGAAAAGAGGTGTCATTCAGGAAAAAAAAAGTCTCCCTCCCCCACTCACCACATGCAGGAGTCTATGACACCTAGACTCAGTGCTCTTCAGAACCACCTGACTAATAAAACTTGAGGAGGTTGACAGGAAGAGAAAGCAGTGTGAAATCAATGCTATTTCTCATTCTTCCTCTTTTTTAAACACTTGAGAGTGCTGATAGACCTTTCCCTTTTGCTCAGCATCCATTGCTTTAGAAAGCTCACTCTTGGTTCCTTCTTTGGAAGTGTAGGGCTGGGATTAGAACTCTCTCTGCCTCTCATCCATCCATTTATACAGTTACAGACTACAAAATAACTGTCTCCTATGTAAACCTTGAGCCAGGACATAATAGCTAACCTAGGATCTCCAGCACACTGCTTCTCTTGTATCTTTCCATCTTTCCTCAATACCTTCCTGGTGTAGAACCACACCTTTCAAACCATCACTGGTTGGTCTCCTTAGAAAAACGTTCCTGTGCCTCTACTCCAACCCATTTTTACACAGGTATTCATCATTTTATTCTGCCCAAGGTTTGGAATCTTAATGTAATGGGCTAACTTTTGAATTATATTTAATTTCTTCTGCTCAATTTTTTTTGTTTTTGTTTTTTTTGAGACAGAGTTTCTCTGTGTAGCCCTAGCTCCTGGAACAGAAAAAAAAGTTCTAGAAAGACCCTAACTTATATACATTCCCAGTGCAAATCCCATCTAGACCCACAATTTAGATTGCAGTTCACTGGGAAATTCCTGATAACCATCAGGGGCTTCCCAAACAGACATGTGCTCCTCTTTCCTCCATGAAGCCTTCCCTGGTCACTCCAGCCCAAAGTCATTGTCCTCACCTTAGAATTCCTAAGCCACAGCTACATGTCATGTCCTATAATCAGGTAAATTATTGAGCAATGTAATTATAGCTAGCAGGACATTAAGTAAACGGATCCATTCTCCTAACACCATGCTGCAGACCTAAAATACTAGAATGAGAGCAATGAACCAACTTTCTCAACTGTGTGCAGTTGTTATAATGAGATTAACCTAGAACTGGAATCCAGGTTCTTTTTCTTCTAGCTCAGCACCCTTTCCCTCTCCCACGTGCGCTTGCTTCCTGCCACTTCGCTCTGACTTCCACTGTCTTTTTGTGTCTCTTCCCCCACTGAGACCACAGCTTGTCTGGAATCACATAAAGAAGAGCACCACCATGTTTCAGGTCTCTTTTTTTGCCTATCAAGAAGGTACTAGTGGAGTTCCAGGAAGGGAAAAAGAGCCCCCACAAGCACCTTTTAAAAGCCCAGTTTCAACATGTAGTCCCATCTAGCTCAAACCCACAGTGGACACTTAGTATCCTCTGGTGCCTTTTGTCTTAAAGCATTCTGATGGGTTTCCAGAGCCATGTCACTACAAGACTCGAGGTGTTCATGCTGTTTTTACCCTCAGATCACTTCCTTCCCACCACCTCTAGCAATACTGAGTGGCAATGGTAATAATCAGACTGACAAATGAATAGCCCTTAGATAATATTATTAGCACCTGTAGGTTCCTTTGCCACCTTACCTTGAGTGAAGTAAAGATCAGTGCACCTGTGGCGTAGAACAGCAGCAGCAACAGAGGAACTATGCATAAGAGCCATGGCTTCCTGAACCTCTGTTCCCCTCGAGGACTTGGCTGGCTCAGAGGAATTTCCTCCATGAGGCTAGAACTCTTTCTCTGGAGGGATGAGCGCTCTGGAAAGCAGATATGCACAAGTGATGGATGAGGGATGCAATGTCATGTTTTATAGTAATTAGCTGTGGGTGTGGGAGGTGGAGTTTTCCTTTGGAACACTGCTGAGCTCTGACCGTCATCATGGCACCAGGCCAAAAAGACAAAGGAATGGGAAGGCCGAGCGCCAACAGAAACACGGGAGGGGAAAAAAAAGCCACTATGAGGCAAGTTCAGGAGGAAAAAAGTCTTTCCTGAAGCAAGAGGAAGTACTGTGTGCATGCACAGCCAGCCTCGGCTGCTGTAAAATGCTCAGTGCATTCCAAATTACCTCCAATAAAGAAAAATTCTTCTAAGAATAAATAAAACTTAAAACCAAGTTTTATCATACTGCAGATGTTATGACTGGGTAAGACAGAGAGTTAGGGAGCAGAAGAAGCAAGGATGCATGGTTTGAACAATATAGTTCTCATGAAGTCATCACATTGCACACTTTACATATGGATCATTTTATATATACACCATTTTTATCTAACACTTGCACCTTAGTAGGAGTTTAAAAATATCAAGTCAAAGCTATAATCACAAAAAAAATTAATTTTCTGGGTTACAAAATGTCTTCATCCTGAATTAGTCTTGAAAAAAAAATGCAACTGGGGGCTGGAGAAATGGCTCAGCTCTTAAGAGGACTTGTTACTCTTGCAAAGGATCTGAGTTCAGTTCACAGCAACAATATGGTGGCTCCCAACCATCTATTGCTCCAGTTCTGGGGCATCCAACCCCCTCTCTGACCTCTGAGGGTACCAGACACACACATGATGCGCATACATATGTATGTGGGCAAAACATTCATATACATAAAATAAATTTAAAAAATTTTTTAAAAGCCTGCAAGAACTTAGTAAATATTAGAAACTTGGAAAATAAAACAATGGTGAATTTTTTTACACCTTGGCCATGTTGAAACTAAATTCCAATGCTGGCATCAAATAGAAATACAGTTATCCTTTAAAGAGTTATTTCTTTGGCTTGTATTCTGTCCTTCACTCCCAAATATAGATCTTTTTTATTCCTCATGACACCAAAATGCCAATTTAGCATAAAACTGAAGAAGTCTCTTGTTCTCTGCACCTTAGCCTCCTTATCTGTTAAAATTATTACCTGTCTTCCAGAATGTCAGTATCATTTGCTAGAAACCTTGTGGGCTTTTAATCTAGACACACCTGAGAGAGAGCATTGCCTAGTACAGCTCAGCCCTAACTTTCTGTACAACACGTTAGTGGATTTCTCTGAGCGTGGATTTGTACTTCATAATAGTTTTGCAATAGTAAAATAAATGTACAAAAGTAAAATAAATGTCTTACAAAAGACATCCCATAAGGGTTACTATAGTCTCTGCCCTCTTTAGAAGTGTGGAGATAAACTCAATTATAAAACCCTAGAAAAGAATGAATATTTCTTATTATTTTTCATAGGAAATGATTCAACTGAAGTTAAATTAAATGAAAGTATTTTGGAGACAGAATTTCTTTTAATCTTAGAGAAGATCAAAAGTTTTTTGAAAGCAGAAACGTATTTAATGCCCTCATTTATGGAAAAGGAAGCTAAGGTCACTGGAGATTGGGGGTTCCTCAAACCACTAATGGCTGATGAAGTGGAAATCCTAGCCCAGAAACCATAGCATTTTGTAACAAAGCCAGATCTGTCTTAGTGTCACACTATTTCGGGCAGTCTTTCCTACTGAGTTGTCAAATTCCAACTTGACCCTATTGTATCCTAACCAATAAACTACTCTTGAGGAAGATAGTTACACAAGAATAATTCATCAATACAACAGACATTTTTATGACCACCTACTATATGATACTACACCAGGGTGAATGAGAAACTGACTCTTGAGGGAGAATACTTTGATCTGGTACCCTTTGCCCTTGTGTGACACAGGTAGAGAGACCTTAAATCCACCCCTGAGAAGCAGAGTCCTTTCCTTCTTAGAACTCATCCCATCTGCTCCTTTCTTGTCTCCTGTCCAAATGTTAGACGGAACTTCTGCTTACTCACTTCAGTAGAGATGCATTCACATGAGGAACTAGGCCAAGTAAAATCTGTATCCACCTTCGGATGAGATTGGGCTTGGGTCTATTCTTATTTTAGCTTTGTGACGGTATCTAAAGAAAATTGACACAGTTATCATGAGAAGAATGTGCACTCCAGGGCGTCTTTCCATTAAACAGGACTCAGAAATGATGAAACTTCAAGTCAGCACAGGAGACAGTAGGGAAGGATTTCGACATTCTCAAGTTTTGAGTCATAACTGGTACTTTGTTAGCATAAGCCAAAAGAATATTTTGTGGCACCTCAGGATTCACCAAAGGCAAATGAGTACCAAACTCAGTATTTGTCCTAACTGAAGACCTCCTTTGGCTTAGATAGTTAGAAATAATATTTAAAAAAAAACTTAAAGCCAACTAGCAAATCTATTTTTCTTTTGTTTTTGAGTTTGTATCATTTCTCCCTTCCCTTTCATCCACCCAACCCCTCCCATATACCCTTACTTGCAAGGAGATTTGGAAGAATATTTAATACAGTCACCAAAGGATTTACCACCCAACTCCATTAAAATTATGCACACAGGGAAATCTGCACCCCAATGAATACTACATCTAAGACAATGCTTCAGAAAACAGATCCAGAGAAGTTGAAATTGTTGAAAAGGCAGAGGAGGAATGGCTGTCTTGGCAGAAGAAAAACACTTCTTTCTGAAGGAATAATAAAACTTAAGGAATATGTTAAGAGGCATGGACACCTGCAAATGTTAGAAATTAAATGAAAATGTTCAGAAAAAAATAAAATAAATTCCTTCCATGTTTTGTCAGGTTGAAATGAAAAGATCTAAGATACACTCCACCAAGTAATTTAACTATACTCATAACTATCTTCAATTGAGAATCAATTTGTTTTGTGTGTGTGTGTGTGTGTGTGTGTGTGTGTGTGTGTGTGTGTGTGTGTGTGGTTGTAGTTAAGTTATTAACTAAATAATACTAAAATACATTAGGCAATCACTCTGTGCATAATCATTCCATTTGAATATTAAGAATCCCTTTGTTGAATGTTCTTTCTATAAAAATGATAAAACTGACACTTGGGAGGATAATTCATTAGCTCATACAAGTAGAAGAGGGATTGAATCCTCGTCTGTTGGACCAGAACATCCATGTTGTGTGTGTCTCTCTATACTAGATAAGGTGAGAAATGTGTGATATCTATGACAGAGCATTAATACATGATCAGCTCCTTCCCTAGTCCTGTGTTACTCAGGTCTACAGTCCTTAGCCCAATCTCCTTTTACAACTGTTTATTATGACTTCATTCTCATTGATAGTGTATGGTATCACACACCCAGTCAGAAACATATACTATGTCAGAATTTAGTGAGGAATGATATGCACATAATCTAAGATACTCTAGACAGTAGAGTCTTTCTTATCATGTTTTCTCAAATATGGCACATTTGAGATAAATAGATGGATATAATTACATAGGGAAGAGAGAAGGGGGAGAAAAAGAAAGAAAAGAAAGGAAAGGAAAGGGGAGGGGAGAGGAAAAGAGAGGAGAGGAGGGAGAGGGGAGAGGAAAATAGGAGAGGAGTGGGGAAAGAGAAGAGAGGAGAGAGACACAATTAAATAATTAGGATTTCAACCTTGGAATTTTAAGGCTATAACTATTAAGATTGATAAATGTCTAGTCTATAAAAAATAATTGTAGCCCATTCAGTGGTAGAGTGCTTGCCTAAGCTATACAAGGCCCTGGGTTTGATCACCCATCATCAAAACAAAGATGGTAATGTATAACTCACTATTCATAAGTAAATATATGTGTTCATCTCTATATAGATATGGTATGTCTATATGTGCAGATGTATACATACATGTGTATATTATATCTACAATAATTCTAAGAATTTCCTCATAAAAATCCTCAGATCATATTTTCTAAAGAACTAGCTACAGCCCTAACCAAGGTGGTCTAAAGAATATTTTTATTCAAACTATATTTTTAATTTTTAATTATCAGTTTTATACATTTATATAATGAACTTTGATCATTTTCATTTCCCTATTTCCTTTTCTTATCCCAATTTCTTTCTTACTGGAATATTTCTCCATAAGTCTCCTCTTGTCTGCATAACTTCTCATTGTGTATGGGCCACAAAGTCAATGAGCATTTCATGGGTGGAAGGTTTATTTTACTGAAGCAAGACAATTTATCATGGCAACACTAATGAACAAAATGACAGCTATGCTCCCAAAACTTTTCATTCCCAACAGTCCCTCGGGGAAGGGTAGCACCTCTTAGTGCTCCTCCAGAGGCAAGCTTGTGCAGATAACCACATTTGCAGTGAGTTTACCCAGAGAACATCTTTTGCTGCACATTTCCCCATCTTCTGGCTCTTCCTTTCTTTCCATCCCCTCTTCCATGATGTTCCCTGAGTCCTGGAGAAAATAATGTAGCTGCCCTGTTTAGGACCCTACCATTTCTTACTCTTGGCCTTTTGGCCAGTTGTGGGTTCCTATATTAATTGCTGTCGGCCACAGTAAGAAACTTTTCTGATAGAGGTTGTGCATAGCACTAATCTGTAAGTATTAACATGAGTATTTACAAGGCAGTTAGACAACATGATCCTTTAGCAAAACAATAATATCAGGTATTCAGTTGGACCTATGACTTCCCCTGCCATGGACTCTTGATGAGATTAACAGAATTAAAGCATGAGTTCCTGCCTCAAATCCACTAAGAAAGTGGTTGGTTTCCATGATAGCAGTCATGCCATTATCACACTAGGAAGGCACACATTCCCTGGCAAGCCATTATTTCAGGATTCATAGCTGGATACAATCAAACTTTTTAAATCTCTTAACTTGGAGAGTTGTTTTTACGCTCCACATTATCTTTCCTTGTTTTATCTTTGCTTGTAAACATTTTTAGAGCTCTTGCCAAAAATTCTTGGCTACTTGTATATATTTTATTTGCCCAAGTACAGGCATTAAGTAACAATGTCTACTGTCCAATTTCCATGGAAATCTGTATTTTTTTAACCTTATGCTTTACTATTAATCTTTTAGAATCGCTGTGTGAGGTTTCAAGTTCCTGACTCTGAACTCTATAGCCTGTATTCACTGTGTCGGTCATCATGGAAACATTCTAACTGTGGGAGAAGCACTTTTTAAAACAGCCTTTGATGAGAGATAAAGCTTCCTTCTCATAATTTGTACTGAGAATAGATCATCCCATTTTGCAGTATGACATGACACCAGCTACTTGAAGCCATCAACGTTTCTTTAGATGCTGTAATACATCTCCATTGCCGTTAAATTGTATTTTGCCCACTATCACAGAGAAGTCGGTATTTTACCTGTCAACCTAGTTGAAGTAAAAGGTTTTAAGATTTCTGACAAATTCTTTTACCCCACTCTCCTGGCTTTCCTTGATCATCTCTGGAAAGGAGTTCAGGGAATTTTTTTTTCTTAACCTACTATTGACCTCTCCACCTGAGGAAAATCTTAAAAGCTCACTCTATAAATGATGGCCTAACAGGACCAGTGTAGAAGCAGCAGATGTCCTCTCGAGTGTGTGGTGCTCAACCCTGAGTTGTGGTTTCATAAAAACATTCTATAAAAACAGAGACATTTTCTCTCCTGGTTATCCACTGACATTGTTGTTTACATTTCAGTTCACATATTATAACTCACAGCTCGACCTTTTGATGTTGAACTGAAAAGTTAAATTAACAAGAAAGACTTGGGTACTTCTGTATGCAGGGATTCCTAAATACAAGAGACTATGATACTGCCCTTATTTATTTAGGAATATGTTAGCAACACTAATTAATACCTTCTTGTAGCAGGCTTTCCTTTGGACCACCAACCAGTTCCCAAATCATGACATGGAGACTTATTTTTAGTTATGAATGTTTGGCCTTATCTTATGCTTCTCCCACTAGCTCTTATAACTTAATTTAACCTGTTTCTCTTCTTCTATGTTTTGCTTCAGGGCTTTTTACCTTTCTTTCATTCTGTATGTTCTACTTTTCCTGCTTCTTCTGTGTCTGGCTGGCCAGTGGCTGCCTGACTGGCTGGTCTCAGACATCTCCCTCTTTTTCTCCCTCATTCTCTCTCGAGTCTCCTCCTACTTATTCTCTCTGCCTGCCAGCCCTGCCTATCACTCTACTGACTAGCTGTTGGCTCTTCAGCTTTTTATTAGACCAACCAGATGACTTAGGCAGGCAAGGTGAAACAGCAACACATCTTTACCTAGTTAAACAAATAAATCATAAACAAAAGCAACACACCTTTACATCATTAAACAAATGCAGCATAAACAAATGCATCACATCTTTACATAGTTAAAGTAATATTCCATGACATCTTCTTTGTACTAATACAATGTTAGAGACTTCAGTGCTAATAGATAAAAGCCAATCTCTATAAATTTCTTGTTGTTTTCTTCTTCTTGGCAACTGGGGAAAGAAACACATATATGAGATCAATACAGGGAGCACTATACAGCTGAGCTGAGTACTCAATATCTAATGAGAAGTTTTATAAAAGAGGGAATGTCTGGGCTGAGACAAAGTCACAAAGTCAGGAAGGTTAGCCAATCAGCTACTGTTTATATTAATGAATTTGTTGAGCACTATACCATACTTACTATGTAGAGTACAATTCATAAATGCATTTAATGTATGTATATGTGTACATTATGTAGAGCACTACAATGAGTTTAAGTATTTTACTTGAAAATAGAGGAATAAATCAAAATTCTCTAAATTTAAGGAATCATTGCTCAAGTCATTGCTGAGTCTTCTTTTATATTGAAAGCTTCCCATACTTGTATCAAAAATGTAAGTCTGTAATGATGAATTTCTTTCTTATGTAACTTCCTCAGAGTTCCTAAGTAATTCAATTTCAGATTATAATTGGCCAAGCATCCAAAGTTCAAGCCAAACTATCTGTCTATCCAGTTTGGTGATTAGCTATGCATACAGTAGCATGTTCCTCTCTAAAGAGGGAACTTCAGGCCCACATGCAGTGGAAAAAACACTGAATCACAGGCATGATTGTGGAATGTAGCTTTGGTTTGAAATGGAGCTAGCTGAAGGCAACAGGCAGTTTCCACTCACTGAGTAAAGAACAAACACCCCTGAAGAGTTACATGAGAAAGTTATGCCATGATAAGATCCAAATTATTTCAAGTCATTCTTTGCCAAGCAAGCCTAAGGGAAGTCTCCTTGGCTACAGGTAAAGTTATTGCTCCTCCCCACACGTACATTGCTTCCTTCATCCCCAGAAGCACTGGTCCCTCATCCCATGAAATCTCCATTCAGTTCTTCATCCTGTGAATTCCTGGACCATGTCAGGATTCAGCCTGTCAGGTTGCAGTGCCATTGAGTAGTGATTTCTAGTGTCAATCACAAAAAAACAAGGAAGACTGAAAATGATGAATTAGTAACCAGAAATGAATTTTGTGTTAAAGACATGTCCTCTGACAGGCACCATATTTAAAGTTTAACCTCATGGATTATTTTGATTACCTGATAGTCTTAGCATTATTACAAAGCAGATCTCATTAGGACTGGTAAAAACCCAAGGTTAACTTACCCAAAGTTGTACAACTGATAAAAATCAAACATAAATCAATTTAACTCTAAAATCTATTCTTTCCTCTATGTCTTGATATGTAGATGAATATCTGAACTTAGGAAAGGACTTTTAAATAAAAAATAGCTAGCAATGTTAAACATCCTTATAAAGGGCATGTATGCTAATACTCTTTTTTGAAAGAAAAACTTATTAATTAAATGTAATTTTCAGACAGAAATAACTTTTGGGCTCTGTGTTCAGTTTTGTATTCTTTCTCATTTTCCTCCTTAATCTAAAAATGACTTAAGTTTCCAAATGGGACCATTTTATGTCAAGTTTTAAATTACAATAAAGATACAAAATGCCATAGAAATAGTATAACTTTTTCCAGGCACAAAATTTTTGCCATGTTCAATTTTTCTTAAAAGAAATACTATCAATTTACATTGTGGAAACCTTTGTACATTACTTGATAGTATTTATATAATATATATTATAAATGTTACCTTTTGTGCTAATTTATGGATGAGAATACTAATAGCAAAATTTGTTAGCAAACACTGAGCCAAGGGAATAACTAGGAATTTAAAAAGAAATGTAGAACCAAGAAGAGTTGTGAGAAACAGATGAATGATCTAATTTTAGTAATTTCTTTTTTAAAAAAAATAAATAGAATTCAAATAGAAGGGAGATGGGGCAGTAAGAGTATAGGGCTAACAGATGATCCAGGAACCTTCAGAGTCAGTTGGGAATATGCTGAACACACAAAAACTGGCTTGAATAATTACATTGGAAGTGACAACATTACCTAATCACAGCAGTAACAACAAATGTCATCCTCTGAAATTTTCCTCTCAGCTAAGCAAGAGTTGATCACCCCAAATAAATACTTGGCCAGGCTGATCTGAGGTCAACCAATACACAAGACATTTTTAGTTGTAAAGCAGGAATTATGTATTTCTTGTGAGTGGGAAAGGTATATGGTTTGTCTGGAAGACTGAATGGATTTCTGAAATGCATGAACTAAGAGAAAGAAAAGTGTGCCCTAGTTCCATCTTTTCCCTGTTCCAACCTCAACCTGCCTTTACCTTCCTCTGTTTCACATGGTCATGTAAAGCTAATAAATATGTAGACTTTCTTTGCTGCTAGGGTTCCTCTGTACTCTGTTCTTGGAGGGAGTGGGGAAGTACTTCATAGTTAACACTTTAGTGAGGCAGAAAGAGTCCAGCCAACAGGTCAAGGATTTCAAATTCTGGGTCTGACAGTATCTAGTTAATGTATGACCTTGAATATGAGAAAAAAATCCTCTTTCGATTTTAGCTTCTTTATCTGTAAAATATAAAACAAATATGCTATAAACTATAAATCCATACACTAAAGTGAAATATTTGCCATGCTTTTCTGCCTTTGGCATTTAACTTGCCAGGCTACTTATCACTTATTCTTTTTCTATTACAACTAGATTCTTCTTTCTTATGGACTCCCTCCCCAACACACACACACACACACACACACACACACACACACACACACACACACACACACACACACATCTGTGATGACAAATGAACAATAAAGTCGCTGCATTTCCTAAGTGTTTATTTACCGTCTGTGTTCACTTGTCTGAAGAAACTGGCCAAACAGAGCAGACCCTGGAGAGTTGTTGAGTCTGCAGTGTGGGTGGACAGGACAGGATTCAAGATTCTTCCGATGCTCTTTTGAGGTCTTCTTCACCATAAAATGTAAAAGCTGAAAAGGATTGCTTTAACTTCCCCATTTTCCCAATAATGGGATTATAGGCACAGAAATTATCTAGTTTGGATTCCTAAAATTCTGCCACTATTCTGTTAAGTAATTAAGTACTTATTTGAAAAGTGTTGCAGTAACACCCACTCTACTAATTGATAAGTATGAATATATTCAAGATTAATTGAAAATATATTTAAACATTTATTTTCCTCAGATTTTCAAGGACCAAGATGTTTTTCTAAATACTCCAGAAAATTATGTCTTAGACCACATCCTCAAAAAGGTACAAGCCATTTATGTAAATAAAATGAATTCTCTCTCTCTCTCTCTCTCTATCTCTCTCTCTCTCTCTCTCTCTCTCTCTCTATATATATATATATATATATATATATATATATATATATGCTTTCTTTAAAATATTTTAACGGTATATAAAAGCACAGTGGATAGTTGAGGTCATGTAAATTATATAACCTGTATATAAGCACTCTGAGCATACAAGTTTTATTTCTTTACAATTATAATAGAACTATCACTTAAAGTCTCAAACTCAGCAATAGTCTCAGCAATACACACAAAGAGACTTTTCACCAACTGCTGCCAAAGTTTTCCCTTCTTGATTCACCCTTACCCCACCCTCTATGTGTAAGACTGTAACCGTTGAAAAACAGGGAGTCTGGATGTGACCCACTTTCTTGTTTTCTCATATTAACCATGCCTGGGGCCAGCTGTTCAACCCCAGCTACAGGAAAGACAGGTAAAGAATTAGAAGTAGGAAGGGGAGACTACTCAGACCAGTGCAGGCCCTCAGTGGCGATCTGGAGTTTCTTTACAAGCCTGGGACTCCTTTGCTCTGTAAGTAGTCTTAGGCGTTGTACCAAGTGGGTAAAGACATGTGGATCTATCTATTGCTGTCATAACAACTTGCCACAAACTCAGTAGTTTGAAACAACTTCCATCTTGTAATTCTATAGGCCAGAAATCAAGTAGACCCACAAAGCTGTCATAAACTCATCAGCCATCATGGCCACTTACCTGAGGCTGCTGAGAAGAATCTGCTTCTAGGTTCCTCCAGGCAGCTGGCAGGATTCTGTTCTCATCCACCTTCAGGTGTTCAGTAGAGTCATGCTCTGAATCTCTCTGACACCAGCCATACAATGTTTTCAGTGTTTAAGGCACCCTACAGTTCATTGGGCCCACTAAATAATCTGTAATAATTTATGAGTGCATATATTTATCAAATCTGATGGGTCCTTCTGGCTATCTACAGCGATAGTTTGGTTATGGTTTGCACATCTTTGGGTGGTCCTCTGCCTTCCACAGGAAACCATTTGACTTCCACAGGAAAACATCAGAGAGTCCCAGGGCAAGTATTGCTGCATTCTCTATGTGCAGTGGGCTATTTCCAGGAGTTCTCTGATACAGCTTGGCTTTTGAAGGCTTTGAAGGAATTATCCGCCATGACTGTTACTCTCTCTATGACATGATCTGGTCTCTATAGAGATGGGAGGTTGGACTAGGGCATGAAGAGGAGCCATGTCCTCATACACCACACCAGGTAGCCCCATTACAAGGTTTTTCTTCATAGCTGTTTTGATCCTTCCCCCTTTCTACCATGGCCCCTTCGCCCTGACTCCAGCTGTTTGAAATCAATTAAGAAGGGAGGTTGCTTGAAATTTGATAGGCTGTTCTGCTGTGGGATGTCTTTATGTATGCTGTGAATATGTGTTGCTCTGATTGGTTGATAAATAAAGCTGTTTGGCCAGTGGTGAGGCAGAATAAAGTTAGGCAGTGCATTTGAACTGGAGAGAGAGGAGGAGAAGGAAGAATAGGGCAAACTCTGCTGGCTGCTACCAGGAGAAGCAAGATGTAAAAGTACTGACAAGCCACAAGCCATGTGGCAAAGGATAGGTTTATAGAAATGGGTTAATTTAAGATGTAAGACCGAGCTAGTGAGAATCCTGAGCCATTAGGTCATATAGTTTGAAAATAATATAAGTCTCTGTGTGTTTATTTGGGACCAAGCTGCTGTGGGACGCCAGAGGGAGAGATTTGCCCTGACCACAGGGCCCGGGGAAGGAACAGAGAAAGATTCTGGCTACACCGTTCCTCTTTGTAAAACTTGAAACAGGCAGTTGTATGGTTTACAATTTTAAGTTTAGAACAAAACATCCATTTGTATATCCTTAGCTGTGAGATGTTGACATTGACAGCTGTACCAGTCACTAAGATACAAGGTGTTTAAGAAGAGGACAAACACTTTTCATATCCAAATCTATGACCACATTTTTATATTCTCCATACCTGACATTTTCTCTTAGTCTAGAATAGCTATCATCACATTGTAAATAATCTATAAGTTAATAATCAATATATATATACTCTATAATAAATGTATACAGCAATATATTGTTTTCAGAATTTTTAAATGTTGAGAAGCATAAAAAGTAATACATCATCAAGTACTTTCATGTGTCTTTCTCAAATTTTGGTACAAAAGAGATGAGATCAGGAAAGTTCAGGGTAGTAGGACCATAGATATTGGTGCTAAGCAGTGTGACAAAGATCCCACAGAGCAAGTGGACCCTAACTTCTAGACAAATTATTCCTCACTGTTGCTCTATACTCAAGCTTATTACTTGGGCTCAAAACCAGACATAATAGTGATTCAAATGTGAGTTGAAAGTTAGTATCAAGTGGATGTCCAAACTCTACCTGTTGCTCTCCTCTTAATGTCACTTCCTCTGAGTGATGTCACTGCCCATCATGGTGAGGAGGTTCAGCACTGCTTTGTGGCAGAAAGGGTTCAGCCATTGTATGTTACACTTATTTGTAGTAAGGAGGATTCTCAGGGTGTTTCTTCTCTTCTTTCAGTAAGAGTCTCTCACTGAGGGGAAGTCAAGAATCTGCTTCCTGGAATCCCCCATGTAAGAGGCCAGCATTAAAGTAAAAAAGCTGCTTTTTCAGTGTCTGTTTCTTAACCTTGTGATGATCAGCTACTGCCACACTCAGAAATTCAATCCTTTCTAGAGTGGCAACTTTCTAATATTGCCATCTTTTAACTTTTTTTAAATTAAATTATGTTTAGTGGGAAGCAGGGAGCTGACATGGCACACACATGGAAGTCAGAGGACAACTTGTAGAGGGTGGCTTCTCTCCTTCTACTGTGTGGGTTCGAGAGATAAAACCCAGGTCATCAAGTTCGGTGACAAGCAATTTTATGGGCTGAGCCATCTTACCAGTTTGACCTTGTCATCTTAATTCAGTCCATCTTCTGTGTTTCCGCAGATCCCATTATGTTTATCCATGTAGTACTTAGCACACCACAGTAAAATCAGCTGTTTATTTATATGTCTTCCAGAGGCAAGTATTTTTTGAAAATTACTTAACATTCAAAGTCAACCCAAGGCTGTCTCATAGTTAATAAACACTGGATGGACATTTTTTGCTAATACTAGGTCATCACAGAGCAGCAACCAGACCAGATTTAGTTTCCATGGCCTGAATCTATAGGCATTATGATGGTGCCCATTCTACCTATACTGACCAACATATCTGACTATCATGCCTCACTCTCTTTTTCCCCACTGAGATTATGACTGCTAAGGTGAGGCTGAGCAAAGGAAGTAAGCAGTGTGTGTACTCACCATATTGCCTAAGCCTGTCACATAAACAGCATGACTCATATTAGTCATGTCCATACTAGAAGCCCAGAAGTATCCTGGCAGTGGTTTCTAGTTAGCAAGAACTTACTACTGTAGATCTTGAGTGATCACAGGGTGTCTGTTTCCTAATGTATATTGAGCTGTGCAATAACATAAGCTTTGCTACAAAACAACAACCCTATCAAAGAAGTAAGTACAGGGAGCACATGCTTCCCGAGAGGGACGACCATAATCCACTCATCCAAGATGAACTGAACAACTGACATGCCTTCCAAGCAACTCTTGAGTTTGTTGTCATCTTGTAATTGTAGTATTGCTTGGTCCTCCCTTTCACCTGCTGTGAGGCACTGTACTTTAACCATGCCTTTGGATTAGGCTGAAAGCCTCTCAGAGACCAGAACTATGCTTTATCTCCATCTGTACTGTGGCTGCTGTTAAATGTGTACAAGAGGAATGAATAGATAAGTTAAAGACTATGTTGATTGCCTTATTCTATTTTCCACTATTATAGTAGAACACCACAGACTGGATAATTTACAAACAATGAAAGTTTATTTGGATTATGGTCCTAGAAGCTAAGAAGTCCAAGACTAAGGAGTCACTTCTAATAGGACTTTCTTTTTGCCACAAACATCTTTACACAATACTGACTCCTACTGTCATCACATCCAAGACTGGGCACCCACATTCAACTCTTGCAAATACCCTTCACACCCATATATGAGTGCGCGCAGGTGCGCAGACACACAGGAATAATTGTTTTTAAGAAGTAAGCTGGAGTTCATATTTGTACCCATGAAGTTAGTTTTAATTTAATATTAACAAATGGATAGGCTAAATCTATCCATTTTGTACTTAAGGAAGTGTAAGGTTCACAGAGGTGAAAAGTCTTGCTAAGTTTGCTGGTGCCAAGGGGCAGAGCTGAGGTGAGGCCATAAGTATGACAGTTAATACTGATCACCAACCCATCAGGATCTAGAGTCACCAAGGAGACAAATTTCTGGTAATAGCTTTGATGAAGCTTCTAGAGTGGGTTAATTAAGGTCAGGATACTTGTCCTAAGTATAGATGGCATCATTCAATGGGCTGGAATACCAGAGACAGTGGAATGCCAACATTCATCTCTCTCTGCTTCCTGTCTGTGAATACAGTATGACCAGCTGCCTCCCTTTCCTGCCAGTGTGACTTCCCCTCCACGAGGGACTGTGTCCCCTGAAACCATGAGCCACAATACACCCCTCCTTCCTTAAACTGCCTTCGTTGGGTATTTTTGCCTCATGTCTTAGGTTAGGATTACTATTGCTGTGATGAAACACCACAATCAAAATGCAAGTCAGGGAAGAAAGGTTTTATTCTGCTCACACTTCCATATCGCTGCTCATCATTGGCAGAAGTCAGCACAAGAACTCAAACAGGGCAGGAACATGGAGACAGAAGCAGATGCAGAGGCCATGGAGGAGTGCTGTTAACTGGCTTGCTGCCCTCTGGCTTGCTCAGCCTGCTTTCTTATAGAACCCAGGACCACCAGCCCAGAGATGGCACCACCCATAATGGGCTGAGCCCTCCCCCATATATCACTGATTAAGAAAATGCTATACAGGCTTGCCTAAGACCTGATCTTATGGAAGCATTTTCTTTTCCTTTTTTTTTTCTGCGGGGGAGTGGGGGTGTGGGAGTGGGGGGGTGAGGGGTGGGAGGTGGGGATAAGGGGAGTTCAAGACAGAGTTTCTCATTGTAACTCTAGCTGTCCTGGAAGTCGATTTGAACTAGTTGGCCTCAAACTCAGAGATCAGCCTGCCTCTGCCTCCCAAGTGCTGGGATTAAAGGTGTGTGCCACCACTGCCTAGCTGGAAGCATTTTCTTAATTAAGGTTCCCTCCTCTCAGATGACTTTAACCTGTGTCAAGTTGACATAAAATATTCAACCATCCAGTTCACCTTAGTAATAAGAAAAGTAGCAAACATATACAGTCTGACCGCCACACTACTTCTACTATGAGAGTCTCTAGAATACCATCTAGCAAGGGGGTGAGCATTACCATGTAAAAGACCAGAGCTACAGTCCTTGTGAGCTATATCTGGCTGTGAATTATCTGGCTGCTATGCAAAACAAATATGATAATTACTGAAGTGTTCATTTCAAATTTAAAAGAGAGTATCCATTTATCTATCCAAAAAAGTAAAGTAGTTTTTGGAACTGTGACCCTCTGTGACTGCCATACAGAGGACATCTGACCATATCTTTCATTATAGTTTTACAGAAGAATTTAAAATGCTGTCCAAATGCATCAAATGACCCTCTATTGAGGCAGATGAATAATGCCTAAAATGTTAAATCATAACAAAATTTTTTTTTATTCTTTTTTTTTGTTGTTTTTGTTTTTGTTTTGTTTTGTTTTTTGAGACAGGGTTGCTCTGTGTAGGTTTGCGCCTTTCCTGGAACTCACTCTGTAGCCCAGGCTGGCCTCGAACTCACAGATATCCACCTGCCTCTGCCTCCCGAGTGCTGGGATTAAAGGTGTGCGCCACCACTGCCCGGCCATAACAAAACTTTTAAGAGGCAGAGCTTAATGGGAGGTCTTCTAACAATGGGGGTGGGCCTTACAAGGGTATTGGACATCCCCCGCACCCCACCCCACCCCGTGCCCCGCTTTGTTTCCTGGCTATCAGATGAATAGTTATGTCATATGGTCCCACCATAATGTATCCATTGTTATGAGCTCAAAACCAACAGGGCCATCTGGCCATAGATTGAAAACTCTGAAACTTTGAGCCAAAATCCACTTCATTTTTTAAACTCATCATCTCCAGTATTTTGTCACAGTAACAGAAAACTAACATCACACATTACCTACTGGTGAGTGAGTAATATAAAAGAGGAAGGAGTAGGTTTTCTTCATCTTTTTGACATGTAAAAGAATTACACTATTGAGTAAAGGAAGATAATTGTTAATATAATTTAACTATAACTTCTATTTTTCCTAGACTTCCGGGCATACTTTGAAGGCAAGCTAGATTATACACTGTGTAACAATTATTACCTCTGGAGAGCCCAACCATCTGGGCTCCACACCCTCTTGGAAGAAATGTAAGTATGGCTGCCAAAGCCACACACTGTGATCAAAAGCAACTGAAAGATAAAAAGGAAGAAGAAGAAAAGCAGAGAGATAAATTTCACACCATTTAAAGGAAGCAAACGCCTTTTTATTCCTGTTTATAACTACAAGAAATAGTTTGCAAACACATTTTTCCTTTCTCTAAATAATTGGTGGGCCACCCCTGCTCTAAAATTGTGACCATGTGACCAACCTTGAAGAGTCAGCTGATTCTGAGTACCTTTGAGTCCTAATGGGGACTCCTCAAAGAACCACAAAATCAAACCTTTATGAGTCCTTAGGATCAACTCTAGCAAATTTTGTGACACCAACCACCCTTGGTGGTATCAACACTTCATCACACATGCCACAGCCCCATTTCCTTTATTTATTAACAAAATAACAAATCAATTCAAGTTGCCACAGAAACTGGTTGCTTCACTCAGGAATCTATGAAATATAGAAGGTTGACAGGGAAAGTTGGGTTCTCCAAAACACATAATGTTATTCATGTTGCAAGATGGCAGCATGCCAAGGAATTAATTGCTGCCATATTTATTTGTGTAGACTCAGACTCATGCTTTCCATAAAGTTTTCTTCAAGAGAAGGATCAGGTTTTCTTCACAGAGGAAAACAAATGTCTTACTGTGCTATTAGAAGAATCTGACCTTGGAGTATTTAAGAGGCGGGGAGGACTGTGCTGCTAACCAAGTAGTAATTATTAAGCACAGATGACAAATCTGAACTACACCTCAAGATGACAATTGGATGAATTCAGGTGCATGGATCCAGCTTCCCACTTACCATCCCCTTTTGGAATCCCATGACTCACCATGTCCAAAACTGAATTCATTTAATGACCATAAAAATAATTCTTCCTTGAAATTTTGATCATAAAAAAAATTCTTTGCTCAACCTACAACCCACCCAACAGCTCATTCTTTATTCCACTTTCTTACACACTTCTTCTCTCCATCACAATCTTGAATAAATCTTGTGGGCACATTGCTTCCTGGTTTTAATGGCATTGCCTAAATGACTGCAGCAATGACTTCCACTCTTGCTTCTTTTTATTCATTGTCCATAAACTACAGCCACCATGATCTTCTGAAAGAAAGATGAAGACAGAGAGAAACAGAGGTGAGAAGAGGGAAGGAAGAGAGGAAGTGAAGTTCTTGAAGGGACCTGAACATAGCAAGAGACTCCCTCCCAGTCCACAGATTGGGTGCAAACCACACCCAAATACCAATTTTCACAGAGAGATCCTTTACTAAGTGGGAGATGCAAAGGAAGGTGGCTCATTTCTGACTCAGGCAGAAAACAGCAGCAAATGACCTTGAGGTGTGATTTTTAAGAGGAAAAGGGGGGAGGTCTGTATTAGAATCAACTAAGATGCAGTGGTATGTTTTGATTTGGCATATTAATTAGGGTAGCCAAAGGGGGGCTTTTGATGGCTGGACTTCAATATTTTGATAATTGTACCTTGGTGATCAGCCTAAGGAATGAGTCTGTCATAAGAAAGTGTCCAAATAAGACACTTTGGTGGCTAGCTTTAGGGATGGAATCTACGGTTTGGTTTACAAGGGAGAGGGAAGGGAAAGACCTGTCAGAGCCATGTTTGCCATGCTCAGGCCTGCTAGATCTCTTCAGTCTTCATTACACTAGTCACTCTGTGGTCATTGCTATGCATTTACTGCCTTCAGGTAAGTCGTGATCCCTAGTTTATCTGCTGCTATTATGCCGACTTTTCCTCATACCGTATCACACTCTTGATCAGTCTCTATAATAACACAAAATTATCCCCTTGGTTCTTAAGTGGTATTCTTTCACCCCTGGATCTTGGATTAAGCTATTTGGCTTCAGATACTTTTACCATTGTCTCCACAACCTTCCCTTGGCTCACTGCTCCTTATTTTTGATATTTCTGCTGGCCATCCTCTCTATAATCCTTGTGGTCTAAGCTGAATGTCCTATAATTACCCCTAAGACACTATAGAGGGAAACACTACATATTTGAAGTAAAACATTGCCATAGGAGCCTTCATACAAGGGCAGTGTCATAAGTGCATAATAGATGAGGTGGATGTTTGCCAAAGAAAATATGTTTGAAATCTTCTGGCTGTAGATTATACAGTTGCTTACTGCCCAAATTAGTAGATTGGGTTGGGGAATTAACCTTCAGCGGGCAGGATTACTCTTGTTAGATGTGTGGCTGGCATCGTAAGAAACGACCACATGATCCAAAAGGCAAAATTTAACTTCTACAGAAAGGTACACAGTAATAGTGAGCATTGGCTAATTTGTATAGAGTGGCGGGGTTCGGGGAGAAGTTGACATTTTGGCAGTGAGAAGAGACTCAAGAGAATAGAACCTAACATTCTGGGAACTAGAAACTAGAAACATACGTGGGAGGGTTACAAAATGGCGTTCTCTTGAAATGGAGTCATTCTCACTCAGATGACCAGCTAATCTTGACGGTATGCCTCTCACAATATTCACCAGAAGCTAAAAAGGCAAATCAGAGCTTAGAGACTTGCTGCTTTATGAAGAGTATTTAGAAAAAGTGTGAGACACTGTCTGGCAGCAAGATAGAGCGTGGAACTTTTGCAACACATGTCAAAATTTTCGGTTTGCACAAGTCGTCAGCCTCTCTTCAGACTCCTCTCTCTGTTAATACCCAAAGATTCTTTAAAACTCTGTAGAAAATATACTTAATAAATAGCCCTGGGATGGCTGGAATAGGTGGTATTTAAATACAAAATTGATATGAACAGTGAACAAAGACAGGCATGTTGAAAATTAGTTTCAAAGAAGGGAGTTTGCTGCAGCATCAGTTGTGCAGAAGAATTTAGATTTGTCTGCTCCTCCTGACCTCAGAAGATTTATTAATTATGGGAAAAATGCCATGTCATTTACTGTCATGTCTTTAATTCCCACCATAGTACTGGATGCACAGTAGAGGCTCTGTAAACAATGGTTTGATTCATTAGTAAGTAAGTAAATTGTAGGTTATCCCCTCTACATAACACATCCCCCATTTCTTCCTCCCATATCATAAAAGCTTTCTTATTTTTTATTTTTGAAATTATAATATAATTACAATATTTTTCCCTTCAGTTTACACCCTCCAAACCTTCTCATATACCTGTCCCTGCTCTCCTTCAAATTCATGGCCTCTTTTTTTCATTAATTGCTATTTCATGAACATATATATACACACATACATACACACACACACACACACACACACACACACACACACACTCCTAAACATAACCTGCTCAGTCCATATAGTTTTACTTGCATGTATGTTTTTCAGGGCCAACCATTTGGTACTGGATGTCCGAATGGTTTGCTCTTCCCTGGAGAAGACTACTTCTGCTCCCATCTTTCTTTAGTTGCTTATAGTTCCTTGTATAGCACTGAAGCCTCCTGGGCTTTTCCCAGTCCACTTTGATATGTCACTGGTGTTGCTCTTGTTTAACTCACATTTGGGCAATCATGTTGGTGAGACTTTATGGGGGTAGCTTTTGACATTACAAGAAAACACATTTCACATCAAAATCCCTGATCCTTTGGTTCTTACACTCTTTCCACCCCATCTCCCACAATGTCCATCTTAAGTGTGGGAATGCTTTGTAGATGTATCCACTAGGACTGGCCTCCACAACTCTGCATTTTGATTGGTTGTGGTTTTCTCTGTCTGTTGAAAAGAGAAGTTTCCTTCATCTGAGAGGTGGAGACTACACTTATCTGTTGGTATAAGGACAAATATGTAAAGATTGTTGTTTGGGGGCCATCTGCTTTAGTAAATTAATAGTTATAGATTCCTCTCCAATAACCATGACTTCACCAGCACTGAGTAGTTAATAGGTTTCCAGTACCAGGCATGTTTTTTCTTCTGTTGAGCAGGTCTTAAATCCAATTAGAGAGCTGTTAGTAACTGCCTCTATGGAAATCAGTGTGGAGAATTCTCAAAAAGCTAATAATCAATCCATAAACAACCAAGTTATACCACTTCTTGGTATATGCCCAAAGGACTTGGCATCCTCCACAGATACTTGCTCACCCATGTTCATTGCTGCTTTGTTCACAATAGCTAGGAAGTGGAAACAACCTAAATGTCCTACAACTGATGAACAGATGATGAAATGTGGTATGTAAACACTATGGAATACTGTGCAACTGCAAAGAAAAATGAAGTCACGAACTTTGTGGTAATTGGATGGAACTAAAAAAAGATATTGAGTGATGTAACCCAGACCCAAAGAGACAACCCCATTCTCATTTTTATCTTGTTTTGAGTCACAAGTAGTCATTGTCTATAATAAATGTGCTCTCTCTCTCTCTCTCTCTTTCTCTCTCTCTCTCTCTCTCTCTCTCTCTCTCTCTCTCTCTCTCTCTC